AAAGGAAGGTGGAAACCCGGAACAAATTTGCAACTTATTTACAACTTTCTTTCAACAAATCATTACCGCTTTTTCTGATGAATATCAAGATCGAGAATATTTTTCATTCTTCCCTGAATTTACAAAAGACATTAGTGTGAATCAAATCAAAGTGGAGAATTTTATGGTGACTTTTAGAAATTAAACATCTTCAAAGGTTCAGGACCTGACGGGATTCCACCAGTATTTATGAAAAGCTTACGCAATAGAACAATAGAAGTTACGACTCCACTGTTTTGGCATTTTAATAAGTCGCTGGAATCTGAGAATTTCCCCAAAACATGGAATAGTTCTTTCTGGGTGTTTATTTTTATAAGTGAAAAAAAAAAATTGGACATACATAATTAATCCCGGTAATCTTGGATTCCAAAGATTTTTGAAGCAATCGTTAATGAAAAATTATTCCATCAAATCAAAAGCAGAATCACTAACATACTATACTGTTTCTTCAAAGGCCATTTAACTAGTACAAATTTATGCGAATTTTTTAACTATTCGCTGATTGTTATGAAGCTCTATACACAGACTTCAGCAAGGCATTTGATCACATTGACATACTCTTGCTACTCTATCTAATCGCCAACAAATAGTTAGATACAAAGGGATGAAATAGAATCCCATTCAAGTCTCTTCAGGAGTCCCGAATGGCTCTCATCTAGGCCCCTCTTGTTTATACTATTTCTAAATGACATATCCTTCATTCTTAAAACCATAAAAGTTTAAATTTATGTTGACGACATGAAGCTCTTTCTAGAAATAAGGAACTATGAAGACATCAGGACATTTCAGAATGAAATACACATTTTTTTATTTGGTGCAACAAAAGCCTTTTACAACTGAGCGTACAAAAATGTAATTCAATAATTATTAGTAGAAGACGAAGCATTGCCCATAACAAACAATTATGATTGTTTAATGCAAATCGGAGATGGTTGAGTTTTTCCAATTCGTCATTTGGTGTGGACCTGCTCATATTTGTCCTGATTCAGAGAATTGGAAATTTTAATGCAATTTCTGATTCTTACATTCCACAACCAGTGAAAATTTTTGGTTTGCATGTAGAAATAGTTTTCAAATCCTGGATTTAGAGAAAACTGATGGTATTCGGTACCATGGTGTTTTCTCTGCTTCGAAACCTGGCTTCGTCCCCTAGCAGCACACTTCTGTTGCAAAAGGTTGCAGCAACCTATTTAAGACTGAAATGTGTTGCTTAAAAGGTTCTACATTCGACTTGCGGCAAGGGGGCAGTTTTTAAACCACGTGGACACCTTCAGGGGGAGGTATTTGCAAGTATTAATACATAATCGTATACGGTCCAATTAAATTCCTAAAACAACATTATGGATGATTGTTTAGGGGATGGGGGATTCTTAAACCTCTTAAAAATCTTCCACGTAGTTTATGAACAGCTCGTACAGAAATGATTTTAATTTCGTCAAACTTCGCCACTAAATCCACGAGTCTTAAATAAATCAGTGATTCAGTAGGGTTAGGGCGCGTTTTGCCAGGTTGGTCGAGACAGATTTCATGTGTGAGTAAGTAACGATGCTGGACATTGTTATGTGCAATTCACTTTAAAAGGTGCGTTCAATATTTAGCCACATTTAGCTTCAAAGAGCCTTAATGAAATGTGGCACTTGCGAACATCACTCGAAGATACGATATGACGGAATATTGATACTAATGGTATAAAACATAAGTAAATTATTCCAGAAATAAGTTAAGATAACATATTGAAAAATGTGTTAATTGTTAGTGAACAAATGTTATGTTGCATTGAAATACTCTAAATCGTGTTAAATTTAAATGTCCCCTCATTTAACATCCATTGAACCATTCTGAACGGCCATCCCGTAGTGGTTATATCACATCATTGCTTATAATGAATATATCTATATATTTTCCGGTACCATGGAGCGACTAGCAGGGATGTAGAGAAGGACAACAAGTTTAAAAATAGTCCACGAAAATTGGCCAGAATGGTGAAGAAACAGCGAAAGTTGATGAGATCGTTTTAATTTTTTTTATAGCTAATGTATATATACAAAACAATGCTGGGATTATGAGGGACCACCAGGGCAGCCCATTGAAGCGATTTGGATGGGAAAAGTGGGAATATCAACTCCCTGTTGATAACATTTCGTGGATAAAGGGCGGATTCTTTCCCCCACTCATTGGGGCATATTCCTGTGTAAGGGCTCGTGTTTTTGATCAACTGTGCGATCATATTGCCTATCGATCAACTCAGTCCGTGTTTAACCCTTCATACAGCGACATGTTGAGAGCAATAAGAGGTTATTAGGCTTCATCACGACAAGCAGAGAAGAGAGCCCACTGCTATCGGACTTAGTTTACGTGCTACAATAGAAAGGTCAACTTGCATGATCCTCTTTTAAGCGATGTTAGGCACGGATTACCGGGAGGGGCAGGTTGGCCATGGCAAGGGGTCCCACAGATTATACAGATTTTAATATCAGTATGTTTTTTTATGTTTCCATGTTTCATTGACATAATTCCGACTTATGACTCCATATGATTTGATCAGCATTTTGTTTTCTCAAATCAACTGTACAAAATTCAAATAGGTGAAATGGATGCCCCTAATTACCTGGGCCCATACATAAATTCAGCAATCGACTTAATTTTCAATAGTGACCAAAAATATCCATTAGTACCGTCCCAATGACGCGTTCATCGAGATAAAATTAATAAATAGCAGATTTTTAGCGATGGGCCCAATTTAGATCCATAGGCCAACATTAGAGCCATTTCCTCTATGTAATTAAAAAAAAGCGTCCACAGCATGACATAGGCAGCAATTTTACTTATTTCCAATGAGAATTTAACTTGAAGCAAACAGCGCAATGCACATGCCAAGCGTTTAAAATCCTATGAACTGAACCTTGATGGTGGATTCTCTTTATCGGGTTTCTCTTTGAATTACTACAGTTAGATAATAGAAATCCTGGATTTTTCCTGTGTGTTTTCATAGTATTGTTAGAGATGTATTACCTAGCAAAAACAACAGCAAATTTTTAATCAGGCGAGCTATTAAAAAAACAAAGCATCAATTAAGAGAATTAATCCTGTATCGCTGTGTTATTTAAGCAACCGAATTCAGTCTGTTGTTTTTTAGATTGAGCAAATTTCTTGTCAGCGTATATTTTTGTCAAGTCTAAAATTATATGCATGCACGAAAAGACACAAATTCAAAGATTATATTAGAAGTAGTTTTATAGTTTATTCAGGCAAAACGTTGATTATTCAGCTTGAAAAAAGTTTGTTCAGTTTTTAATCAAACATAATGTTTGCTGGGTGGTACTTTCCGTGAATGAATATTACGATGTAGGGTGTATTCGAGTACTAAACGTACTGTTCAACTTTTTTATATCTTTGAAACCTTTTGAATCAAAGTTTCCTTCCATAGGAAAATCAAAACCGATCAATTTTTCCCGTGATAGATCTGATAATTAACTCTCCAAAAGCAGTATTCCAACTGGCAATGAACCGCTTTAGGTTTATTTTTGACATAAATATCAATCCTTCTGAATTGGAACACGCCTTGGACAGCTTAAAAGTAGCGTTTCCAAAATACTTGAAATACTGATTGGGATTTGGAGCCGAGGATCGTTAACCTTTTATTTGGACCTCAGAAATAAAGCTGAGTTCATTGCGAAAATTCTTCAAAACGTGTACCTAATGAAGTTCAAAGTATTTCTCAACTGATAGACAGGCACATCGAAAAATCTTTAGCATGCAAAAATGTCCTGGGGTCATATTGAGATACCAAGATACCACAAGGTTGAATTGAATATTAAGATAATTGGTTTGAAGATGGGCCCCCACATATGCTTGGCCTCGGTCCCCCATAAACAGAAATACGGCTATGAGCCAGGTTAATATGAATAGCTATCGAATCATTTAGGTATAATTGAATGAGATGAATGACAATGTAATATTAAAACCTCTGTAATACATAATACTAATAATAATAATTCTGGTATAATAGAGAAGGATGAAATCTATTCTGTAATACCCATCGAAACTCAGGAACGTATTTTGGTCAGTCAATCACACTAAAATTATCCAAGCGAACATAACAGCTGAGCACGTTCCTACTGTAAGCAGTAGCAAAGCTGCCTTCTCGTCGTTAAATTCCTCAGGCGTCATCCTGGTTGTCTCCATTGTCGCCTTTAAAATCCTTTTTAGGTAATTTGGTTCCTCCCCCACACTGCTGGCGAGACAACACGCCCCGTAGTTCCTCTGATTCCGCTCAATATAAACATTTTAACACATTTTACAGCCGATCCATCAGCTTTTGCCGCACAAATCTCGGTACCTGCCATCCATCCATCCTTTGTATATGCCCTACGGCCGTTCAATTCAGTTTCAGTGCACTTGCTGTGTTGTTGCAGAACACCACTTGTTCCCAGAACTCTGAAATCCGAGCTCGTTTCAGTCCGTCTTTCCGGCTGATTCAAATGCCAATGCAAATGCATTTTAGCAGCAAAAGCAACAACAACACCAGCTTCGACAAAGCAGCAACAAAAAAAGCTGATCAATAAACAAATAATCATTATCATTGGGATCAAACTGCCCTCACCCGAGTTGAGTAGTAGCAGAGAAAAAAAGTAAACAAGAATGCACAAAACCTCACAACTTTGGAGCCGCTCTGGCATGCATGCGTAGGGGATCTGAACCGCCTTGGCGCCAATTTCCATACTTGTGCCTTCTCATCCCTGGCAGCTCCTTCACGGCCACCGCGCGGATATCACCATATTCACCTGCACAGGGGTTTATTTATAGGGCAGCACCGGTTTTCGATGGAAAATAAATAGCACAAAGCTCTACTTTAAATTCATCGGAATCGATCGATGGATCAATCGATCGACGTGGCCGACATGAGGTGTAGGTGCACTACACATCGAGTTGTGTGACACAATCGACAGGTATCAGTTTCGCAGCAGCCGTGTTGCCAGCTCGAAGTTTTGGTCTCCGGGCGTCACTTTTGGATTGGGTGGTATAAAGCAATCCCGTTGGGGTGTAAAAAAGGTTCTGCGCGGGATGAAGGTGGGATAATTTGACAACCCGTCTGGCGACATTGGGTTTTACAAGGGTAACAGGAGGCCCTTGACGGATGTTTGAACAAGTGTTTCGATTTTCGTCTGGATCCGTCAGACAATGTATGCTTTTGTAGGAAAAAAACAACAACGTCACATTGTATGCGTGGAGTTCGATGTGCTGGCAGTCAGTCGGTGCCACACGGAAGTAATTTCAGTTGAATTTTAAATACGGTTCGAGAAACATATAGCTTCTGACAGAGATGGATATCGATTGGTATCAAACGTTAACGTTTTTGATAATGGCAATGTTGTGGTATCCGTTCAGGTTCCTTCTGAGAAAGTTTTGCTTGAAATAAGGTAAGCATGATCGATTTTCGTTGCTGCCAGTGTTTTTTTTGCAGAATTTGTGTCGATTTTTCATAAAAAAAAACCATCGTTATTGACCGGTAACGCTAGTATATCACATCTAAGTGATGCGTTACGAAGGAAGATCTACCACATCGAACTCTCACCCTGAGCTCTTCATGTTGCGGTTAGAACCAGGGTTCTGATGATGCATGCTCAAATACTGTGCGGAACCGAAATCCGTACACCTAAAAAAAATTGTATGAGGTGTACGGATTCCGGTCCCGCACGCTATCATTTGTGTTTGACACAAAGAAGATTCTTTTTGTATTTATTAGAAGGCCATTGGAAAAGTTCTTTAGCTCTTGGAATCATACGAAATATCGCAATTAATTGAGGCTTCTTGTGAGAAGATCAATAAGAATGACTGATAACTATGTTCATAGCTTTCCCATGGTAATGAGATATTATGCCACAAAAGGTCAACTTAAAAAAAGGCATTACTCACAGTAACTAACTAGGTGGGGTGAAAAGTAACCTCCTTGGTAGTGAATTTTTAATGTTTATTTTATTTTATTCAATATAGTCCCTTTTTAGCTCGATACACTTATTCCAGCGATTTTCCAACTTTATGATCCTGTCCAAAAAGTAATTTCGGATGAGTCATATTTTGAAGTTTGGGAAGAGATAATAGTCTAAGGGAGCCAAATCGTTCGAATACGATGGATGCGGAAGCAATTGGAGCCGTAAGTCATTGATTTTAGCTGTGGTTGGGATGCTCTTGTGCGCCGGCGCATTGTTTAGCAAAAACTATTTTTTTTCCCTTCATGTGAGGCCGTTTTGCAGCGATTTCGGCCTTCAATCGCTCGAATAATGCACAGTAATACTCCCTGTTGATGGTTTTTCCTTTTTCGAGGTAGTCCACGAAGAGTATGCCATGACAATCCCAGAAAAACGACGCCATAACCTTTCCGACCCATCGAGCCTCCCTCGGCCGCTTCGTAGCACTCGTGCCGGCTTCAGTCTATTGCCGGGCACTCTCCAGGTTTCATCAACAGTTACCAATCGACGCCAAAAGTCCGTGCGAGTCCGCATCAGCAAGTCCAAACACTCCGAAGTGCTCTCGCGTTCGTGTTTTTGATCAGGAGTGAGCTTGCGCGGCACCCAGCGGAAGGATAACTTTTCCATATGCAGAATCTCGCCCAAAATATGGCGTGTTTCATTTTGAAAAAAAGTGATGAATTTTTGATAGGCCACCCTCCAGTTCGATTCATAGCCCCAAAATATGAACCTGTGCAAAAAATGGTAAAGATTGATGAAGGTTTAGAGGTCGCGCCAATGATTTGGATTTTGTATGGAGATTTTGGTGAATTAGTATGGGAAATTATTGATTTTCGTTTACATTGCTCTAACTTTGGTTGTAGTTGTCCAAACGTTGAAAAAAAAAAAATATGTGGTTGTCATGACAATGATCAACAAGCCTGTTGTTGTTGCGATGAAATTGGCGTTGTTGCCTTGTACATATTCATCTGTCAATTTACCCTATTTTGCCATTTTTTCACATTTTTATAATTCTTGATACGCTGCAAAACTGAGCGTAGCAACTGTAGGCTTTTTGTTTATTGCCATAGCAATAACATACTAAATTTTTTCGACATTTGGACAAGTAGAAGCAAAGTTATAGCGATATAAGCGATTTTTTAAATTCTTCCATAGTAATTCCCATACAAATTTCAAATCATTGGCGCGACCTCTAAACCTTCATCAATCTTTACCAATTTTTGCACAGGTTCATATTTTGGGGCTATGAATCGAACTGGAGGGTGGCCCATCAGAAATTCATCACTTTTTTCAGAATGAAGCACCCTAGTGTGCACTCAGTACTAGTCTTTGCGGTATCTGCTAGCTCGCGCACCTTTACTTGCCGGTCAGCCAACACTCCGTTGGTCGACGATCTATGTAGTGTTATTTTGATTCTATAACTCTATATGTCAAAGGTAGAGCTTCTTAATTTATGTTGAATCAAAGAACCTTTAAAAATATGACAACTTGTGGTTATTTAGAGTACTCAGAACCCATCAACCACGTCAGAATATGTTTCTGGTGTTTCGGGGAAATGATCCGTACCTTTAATTTATACCAGGACCCCTATCATGAGATATATCAGACAGGTTATATTGACTACTCAGGGCGGATGCTGGGTTATTAAGCCGAAGGTCATTAGGCCGAATGCTCACTAGGCTGAACGGTTATTAAGCCAAACGGTCATTAGAATTAACGCTTGATAGGTCGAATTCCGAATAAATATTTTTTTTAAACTTGCGATGAAAAATTTCTGGTTTAAAAGAGATAAAAATCAGCAAATAATAGAAGGATAAATATTGCTATTTCATATTGGCCTTAAATCACCAACAATTTCCTTCTCATATCAGGAAGAAGAACAAGAAGATGAAGAAAAATAATAAAAAAAACAACTTATATAGAAATTCAGGGGTTTTATTACCTGAAAATATGGAAAACGGGAATCCTCAGGGAATTTTATATTTCCTGAAAAAACCAGAAATTTGATCATTTCACAGGGAATTTTCAAATTATGTTGCCAAGAATTAAAAACTTCCTCGTTTTTTCACTCATTGAACTTAATAGATCCTGAGCTGATTTATCTTCAAGTACAAAATAGATTTTAAAAAATCGGGACTTGAATTGCTTTTTGTTAGGTTCTAGAACATGAATATTTTTCGCCATTTTTTTAATTCCAAATTTAATAATTATTATACTTAGAACTTTTTTCTAGAAACTGGATTGAATCCAATAAAGGGTGTTACGATCAAAATTTGGTCGACGTAAACTTGACGCATTTCTTTTAATCGAGCATTAAAAAAACCTGAACACCCCTCAATGTGCACGTGTGTGCGTGCAGAATGTGGCCTCTATTATGATTTTGACATTTGATTTTCAGTTATCACAGTGGCGTCGATGCAAGAAAAGCAACGCATCCAAATCGTAAAAAGTGGCCAAATGAATCACAAACTTTGTCATCTTCTCTCTTTTTTTCTATCAGCCGCTCACTTTCGGGATGATAAGATTCTTCCTGCTTCTATTTAAGTCACACTTCTACTTGGCAACATTTCCTTTTCTAGCCCAATATTCCACAGTTACCGGTAGGTAGCGCTTCGCCACCCGGCAGACATTTTCAACCGGTCCTTTCCCAAATCTATATAATACCAATTACGATATTTTTAAAATTAAATCACACGCACATAAGATTCACTACAATACTAATTAATCGTTTAACTACATATTACACATAAAAAACAAAATCTTAATTGAACTTGGAAAATCACTCCGCGGAAATACAGATAAATCCGTGGTAGCTCACGAAAATACAACCGTTCGTGTGCTGAGCCAACTAAATTATGGTCCGTGACATATACGAGCGTCAATTTTGACATAAAATTGAGTAGTAATAGACGCGAAATTCAGGTCAATCAAACGTACTTTCGAATTTTTCAGTCCCGGAGCACTTAATTTTACATGACATGTTTGTTTACGACGCATCCTTTATGCCAAAGATGGATTCCGTCACGTGTAAGATTAGGTATTTCTAAGTGTGAAGAACAAAAGTCGAAAAAACTTTTTGCAAACCTTTTTCTCGTTATTCGTTTTATACCGTTACCTATTTGTTTAAACGTTTGTTGATTGGTATTGGTATTATGTAATGTTAGGTTATTTTAGCTTTATTTAGATATTAATTTAATATAATAGATATTAATTTAATATAATAGATCAAATTACTCACAACTTGTTTCCTATGCCCATTGATTGGGTAAGCATTTGTGTATTCTGTAATACTGATGATGTAAATGAGAACCGTAGAACTGTACCTTAATAACACGACTGACTATTTCGCATTGTCGACCCGAGTCTTATATACAGTGGACGATCACAACAAGTGCAGTTTGTTTGTTTATTTTTTTACGCATACCTAGGCAATACCGTTCAACATATACATACATGAAAACAATTACAGATCTTGTATACTCATCTTGCCATTAGAAAATTCACTCAACTTTAATTTGAATGACGTTCTCTCGAATTCGGTTAAAATGGAAACTACTTGATGTAGTGATAGGACTCGTTCAGTTTTCCAACCATGTGATTTTATGTCATGATTGTGACGTTGGAAAAAGTTGTTCTGCTTAGTTTTTCCAATCAAAGTTCCAGGTTTGGTACAAAAATGGTCAATCTTCGAATTTTTGACAAGCAACTGAACAGTTTTGTTCCGTATCCCATACATTTTCCCATATAATCAAAATTCACCCGCAAATCGAGATCATAATCAAATTCGATCAAATTTGGCACAGTTTCACAAGGGGGCGACCCCAGCGTTGTGGTTAGCATCATTTAACAAGTAACTACAATAATAATAATAATGATAATAATAATTAAAAAAAAAAAAACAGTTTCATAACTGTAAAATAATTCTGTCAACCTGGTATCTAGGTTTTCTGTGCTCTATTGTCTTGTGCCAACAACTGTGCCAAATTTGAATGAATTTGGTTACGGGAATTTTGTCAGGGAAATGTATGGGGAATGGAAAAAAATTATTAATTTGCTCGTCAAAATAAAAAAAAAAAAATTGCTCTATTTTTATCAAAGCTATTCAGAACACCTTCGTCGGAAACCGCAGATTGATTCGACATCTTTGTAAAAAGGTATTATTTTTTAGCTATCGACCTAGTGCTTCGCACATACTTACCAGCTTATATGAAAGCCAGTACGTATGAGCGGTGCACATAACCATAAATAAAAAATTATATTTGTTGCACAGTAGTCGAATCGATTCACGGTCTTCCATCAAGTTGTTCTGATTAGTTTTCTCAATCTCAGTGCCAGGTTTAGTAAAAATTTAGTGAATTTTTAAATTTTTATAAGAAATTGATCAGTTTCGATCCGTTTCCCATCCTTTTTCGCATACAAACTTTAAAGTTCTCCCGCAAATCCAGATCGTAACCAAATTTGTTCGAATTTGGCACAGTTGTTGAGGACTTCGCATACGCATCGAAAGCGCTCTTGGAAGTCGGGGGTTGTGATCCGCCACACTTGACCAATCCGAATATAAATCATAAACTAATTAATTAATGTTTCCATAAGAATATAATTTACATTTTGGATCTTGTAAAATTTTCGAAATCGCGTCCTTCAAATTTTTCAAAAATTGCAGCAAGGAAACGGCATTTTCGATCAAAATAACATCCGAGATAAAGTTGTTGAGAATTTTTTTTTAGTAATCGTTAAAGTTTAAATAAATTTAAAAAAATGTTTAAAACTCGAAAATCTCAAAATGTTGTTGCCCGATTTTTAATTATTTCTTTTCAAAAAAAAAAAGCTTACACAAAATGCAAACATTTGAATTATTTAAGGCCTTGGACACTTGAAAACTAATAAAAATCATATAATATGAACTTTCGGTAAAATTTTTAATCTCTTTGTTGGTACGCTTTTTAGAATATTTTTTTACGTATGTGAAATGTACAATTATGCGAAATGTCTCAAAAACTGAATTTTTATATTTTTGAGTATAAATTACATGCAAAACCGTTGAAAAAAAAAACAAAGTTCAAAAATTTTGCCAAAATTTCATGTTCTACGATTTTTATAAATTTTTTAGTGTTCATAATTTCCACATTCCAAAAGTTTTAACTTTTCATGAGTATTTATTTATTATTTAACAAAATTCAGGAGAAGTAATTTTGAGATGTTCAGGTTTTTTACAGGTTTTTTGAACTTTTACTTGAAATAATAATTTTGAAAAATTTGGGGAAACTTGATCCCCACATGAGGGTGATTTGATGACATGTATTTTGATATTCATTTTTACAAATGTCTCTGAATCAACTGTGTCCTAACTTTCGGGGATCAAGTTTAACCAAATTGGGTGTTCACATTTTTATACAAATTCGTGGATCAAGTCTCCCCAATCAAAGATTTCAACTTCAAAACATAATGTACAAGAGATTAAAAGAAACAGCACAAATCCAATGATTCTACCTATTCAAAGCTTATGCTAAAAAAAATGAAAATTCCATACTTAAACATTAAAAGATATTAAACCTTTTGCTAAGCTTCAAAAAAAGTTTGAGGTCGTGAAAAGATAAAAAAAACACTCTCTAAAATATAGCTGTTATACAAAATGTTGAAAATGTCACTACAGGTATACCTCGATAAAACTTAACTGTCTCTTTTCACTTCCATCGTCGATTTCTCACAAGCAACAATTCAATCACGCAAAGTAACAATACTACCGGACTGGTGATACAATCTCCTATCTAATCGTAATGTTAATTTGTGTGATTGTGTTGTTGTTTACGAGAAATCGACGATGAAACTCAAAAGTGACAGTTACGTTATATCGAGGTATACCTGTATAAGCATCAAGACAAAAGATTATGGTAAATTGCCAAAAAAATAATCTTTCTAGTTTATTAGAAACCACTGGCGTATACAGTGTACCCAGGGATCAAGTTTTTCCAGTCTCCCCTACATATAGATTTAAAATAATATATTCCTTCAATCTGAATCTATAAAATCTTTTAAAGGGTCAAGAAATCGTTAGCACTCGTATACATTTTTATTTTGAGATAAATCATCATTTCCATAACTTAAATATAACCATATATATTTCCCAAAACATTCAAAATAAGTTTGAGCATAGCAGTTGCTACTCTGTGATTGACCAAATCCAGGAAAATTTGCACAATGAACCATATAGGTACATGGGGCTTGAGATTTTCAATCCATTCTCAGTGTGCAAAATTCGGTAAATCATTACTTTCAATGTCAATAACGGACAGCGGTGCCGGTGGAGTAGTGATAAGCGTACAGGCCTGGGTTCAATCCCAGTCGGCGCCGCCGGGATGTTCTGAGGCATAACATCTCTGATCACGTCTTCCTTCGGAAGTAAAGTAAAGCCGTTGGTCCCAGGTTAATGAGTTGATGGGTCGATAGGTAGGGTCCAGGTGTGGGAGCTGCCTCCCTGGCGTCGGTAACAGTGGTGCTCAGCACGGAAACAATATCGACGGAAAAAAAATCAAGAAAAAAAAAATGTCAATAACGGTGCTGGCCACGTCTTTACGGTCATCGAGAGGAAAAGGATTGTTTTTTAATATTTCTTACTTGAAAGGTTTTCTGAACCGAACCGGGAATCGACCACGTCACGTCCGGCTTACTAATACCATGCTTTAACAAGCAGTATGTGGGAGGATTCCATCAATCTTGTCCTTACGGAAAATATGAACGGAATCCAATGATTAAGTTTGATTACAGTTTTCGTTTTCAGTGTAGCTCCTGTCGATGAATTCGTTTGCTTCGTAGCAGCAAGCATCAAAACAGGTCGCTAAATCTGAATGAGATGGCCAATATACGTGTTTGAAATCTGTACACGCATATTTGAAGCAGGTTCGAGAGATGATAAACAATGAGAATTATGTCAAAATGGACTTCAGCCAGGTCACATCAACCCACCCAATAGTCCTCATATCCACCCAGTCACAAAATTTAGGGCTATCGACTAGCGAAAACTATGTTATGGAAGTTACCATATTTTAATCCATATTTAATGCAGAATTAGTTGAGTACACCATCTTCATTACCACGACACCATGATTTAAATACCACGGAATGTTAAAATCCATATTCCGTTGACTCATATTAATCGTAATTAATCAATCAACTCGTGAAAAACTTTGTTCTGTTGGACTAACTAAGAACACGCACTCGCACATTAGTGTCATTTCTGATCACACCATCTTGTGAAATTTTTCTAAGTCCGAACTAAGCCCACTTTCTGTCAAACACTTTTTTTTTTGCATGGCAAAGCTTGGTGAAACGAACTATAGACACAGGTTGCCAACGCAATTTGTTTCTTATTTGCATCTTTCATAAGCCCCGTTCACAGTAAAGCTTGTATTGCGTGATATAGATTATCTTGATATTAAACGTAACTAATAAGTATTGCTTCTAGAGATAACTTGAGGCATGGATTCTGATATCAAGATAGGCTGTATCACGTAACATTAATTGTGGTGTGAATAGGATATAATATATATTATAATTATTGCGGATCATGAGAATAATTTCCGTCCGACTGCTACCGTAGAATTCAACAGCAGCTGTCAAATTTTCACCGTTAGTATGAAAATAAGCTGAATACTGATAAAAACTTAGTAGAGGTATTTACTATGTGCATCGTAAACATATACACTATCGTTAAAATGCCAGTGTTCATTGGAGTGTAATGGAAGTTTACGCATGTACGAGAATGTATACGTTTACGCCACCAGTATACTTTGACAAACTTGCTGTATTATTTGTGAATCTTGTGTATATTACAGCTGTGGTAGAATTTATTCATGCAATTAATCCGTTCAATGGAAAGTAAATATCTGGAAGAACAATACTCCAATATAAAAACTGAAAACTAAAAAAAAAAAAAAATAAAACGATCCAATAACTATAATTTACAAAATGAAGCAACATTTGACCAATGTCATACATTCCTAAGCAACAACATCTACACTTCTTATCAAATTATATGTTTTAAGGAGTCAAGAATAATAGTACGTTCAGACTACAGAGTTATAACATGTTATAGCGCTATCTTGATGGTGTTTTCTGTTATTTGACAACCGTTATAACATGTTGTAACTCTCCAGTCTGGACAGCGTTTAACGTTTCTTACAGACATGAACCAGCCTGCATATGAAAATATCTTCAATAGAGACAACAAAACCGAACCAATAACGTTTCTTTATCATGATGACCAAATTTTGTTTTTGATTTTTCTTAAAGAACCACCAAAACACTGTTTTGAAACGACAACAGGTATGCAAAATAAAAACATATTATGCCAATCTTCCCCTCAATGACGCAAATGGATCTCCCAAAAGATCCCACGCATCCAGTTTCACATTTTCTGGGCCACCACGCACCGCGGTCACGTGCTCCGATTGTGATCCGATAGCATCCCGCAAATTTCCCCCGAAAAGCATCGGGGTCAAAAGACACAAACACATACACACACACACAAACGCATCGTAGTTGTTGACGCAAACACCCTCCCCGTTGAGCGCCGGTATTCTCACGATCTTATCGACGGCTCCTCCCGCCCAGCCACCACCACCCACCGGGATAATAATAATAAAAAAAAAAAAACAACACTGTTTGCAAATTCGCAGTACAGGCCGCAATGGCGCTTGGTCGTTATGTGATGAAGATGCGCGCACTATGCCATGGAACAAAGAAACCGAGAAAGTCCAGAAGAACTTTGCAGTAACAAAGGATCTGCTTTGCAGAACCTGATGATCGAGGGGCTTCGGGATGGAACGGTGAAAAAAAAGGTAAAACACACTCATCAAGAGGGCAGCTCTACAACAACCATAACGACGGACGGAAAGAAGGACAAAGATCTTAACTTTAGATAAGTGGTTCTTAATGGTTTTCCAGGCAAGATGAAGATGGACGCCTGCTGCAACGCAAAAAGTCAACCGGGAGGATCATCCCGAAGTCCTCCGGTAGATTTATGCCAGACTGTGTTTGGGCTAAAAAGGTGCCGAAAAAAGGTGAACTCTGTTATCTAGCCGTGCCGATCGAGGGTTCGATTCCCAGCGGAGCAAAAGCAGAATTTCGATGGTCCAATCATTTCTCCGGTTGGTGAAGGGTCTTACCTTTGCTTCCAATAGCTGCCCGGTTCGATAATTGCTTCCTGTTTTGTTGTTGTTGTTTTTGGGACTTTGCGGTGAAACTTCGGGTGTAGAGAGAGAGAAACGCGGGAGAGGTTATAAAATCAACTCCTGCTCGAGAACGCACGGTGATGCCGATCGTAGTAGAGGAAGGTTCGTTTCCGCCGAAAGTGAGTTCGATTGAAGTTTTCTAGTTTATAGCACTGCTGTAATTGTCTTCTTCTGCTGCTGCTGCTGTTGCTGCTGTGCACAACGATGGTGATGGTCTTCTGGTTGTTTGAGACTCGGGTTGACTTCCGCATCTAAGCGTTGGCTCAACGTGAGAAGATGTAACGCCGCAGGATCAACGCCGAATCTGTGCATGCTCTTTTTTTTACAATGCGGCAAGCTCACTGTTTATTTCACTACCACTGCCTTATGGGAGGCTATGTTTTGAATTGATTCATTTGGCACTGACATTATTTTTCGATAATTCTTCTCTTTTCAGACCATTATCACGCACTACCATGTGGCTCCACGGCTCACTTGGATGACCCAATTCGGCCAGGTACACAACATTCTCCCCGCTTCCTACGAGCTCTTCGACTGTACACAAAATCTTGTTCCAAAAATACTGTAATCAATAAAATCGAAGTAATCCTTTCCTCGCGAAACACAAATAAAACCTGCTAAACCTTAATTGACACCTTTTTCTCTTGCTTCGTCTCACTCTTGCACTTTATCTCGATCTTTGCCTTTGGTGAGGATTTGCACAGCGAAACTTTTCCATGAACGATCACCGCAGATTCAGACGATCAACTGAAAAGTATCTACCTCCGCGAACCAAACTTAACTGCCTGTCAAGTATCCAGCGGTGAGTGCTTCGATCTTAAGGGTAAGATCCGTGAGTTCCCGTTTGCTCTCACTCTCTTTCCCAGTCGCGGCATTTCGCAGCATGTGTGTGTGGCTCTGTGTTAGTATTTGTCCTCGATCTTTCAAGAGGGTTGATCGTGGAATGCCACAGCATGAGCTTTTTCTATGTTGCTGTTCTTCCTCGTTTATGTTGAGCACCGGTCTTCACGGTGAGTACCAGCACGATCATCCGGTCGTCTCGCTCACACCTCCGTCCGGATCAAATCCCATCTCGCTTGTACTCTCAAGAGGCACGATCCTCTCCCGCTCTTCGGGCCAGACCTGCTTTCTTTCGATGCCGCGGATTAAGAACCGTTTTGCGTTCAACAAAGAACCTTCTGCAACGTGAGAAGAATACTACGCCGTCAGTTGGGAATGAAATGATTATGACCCCTCCCGCTGATTTTTTCTTCGTTACGTCGATTTACCATTGCATGGCGAGCGAGACGTCGTGGGTCCGGACCGTGTGCTCAGGTGAGTGAGTGCCGAGTGAGGTGGTAGTGGGTGCTGCTCCAGAACCAATCAGAATCTTCCGGATTTCGTCCGTGCTGGAGGAGTTGTGGATGCGCATAGCTCTCTCTTTGGAGTTTATGTGTTTTTGGTTCAACACTGAACGAGGCTCTTTCACGTGCGGCGTACAGTTATAACCCCTACCTGAAACCAGATCGAGTGGGAGGGAAAGAGATGGTGTCGTTCTGATGGTGTGGCTGAAGAATCTGTTGAGGTCAAACGGAGTGCATTCTTTCTCTTTCTCATCTTCCGGTGGCATATACCTGAGACGAGTCTTCTGCATACACTCAACAATCCTCGGCTTGAATGACCGATCGATGGGGAATTACGCGATTGACTGCGCTAGAACGACTTGTTGAGACAGGTGGGCATAAACTAATTATCGTTTATGAGGGCTTCCTGTTGTTATGCTACTCAGACTAATTCTCACAGAAACAGGAAATTCCACTCTTCGTTCCTGTTCCAAAAAAAAAAAGTCAGTTGGAAATCCCGCGTTGACTAGTGAATCAACCACCGCCGATTCTACCTGAATTTCCAGCCCACACTTCTATTTCGGAGGAGGACTTTAATTGCTTATGGATCGTAGCCACATGGAGCGTTGAAGAACTTTGCCTACCCGATTCTGCTTTGTGCTAGGCAGAGAGTCTAGCATGATCCATTCTTGGAGGTGGGGTGGGGGGATGTGTCCGGTTGCTTTGCACCCCGAACGCTGTATCCTGATGATTACATTCCGTCTAACGTTGTGTAACCATCAGGACGATCATTCGAATTGATCATCGTGTCGCTTCAAAAGTCACACTTGCACACTCCATGAAACAGGACTCTAATGGCAAAGAAGACGAACTCCGAAGAGAGGGAAATGAAATCCTGAAAGGAATTATCGAAACCTGAGGTAGCTGAGCCGCTGTGCAGTCAAGAGCCCACACAATGTGACCCCCCGGTGGGATTTCAAGTGCCTCGGAGAATTGGAAAGAGTGGGTGCGCAGAAGGTAGGACGAAGGAGGTTTGAAAATGTGAAGCATCCGTGCGTTTTGGTGTAAGCATGTAATCCGCAATTTAGGATTCTTTCTTTAGTTTTTCTTCGGTTTCATTTGTCTCCTCGTCGATCCTGCACTATTTGACATAAACAGGATGCGAATATGTAGGATGGATAGAAGTGGCATGCTTTTGCTTTGCCGTTTTTATTGTACGTTTATTTGTCTAGGGCAGGAGCGTTTGTTGTCAACATGGACACTAATAACATGGTGTCCTTGCGACCGTCATTATCAATAAAAAATATCCATGAAATCAATGTATAGCATTCTGTAAAATCAAAATCATCCATCTATGGTTTCACGGGATATCGCGATTTTGGATTTTAAGTGATTTCCCCGTGAACCACCGCTTATCTGAATATGTGTGAGCAATAGTCCTCAACAATGATGTTCAAGAATGAATAATGAACAATTTTTTTGAACATTATTGAAAAAAGCGGGTTCCATTTAAAACTCATCATACGTAATAGAAGAATACTCACACACTTACAATTTGTTGTTACACTTACAATTTGTTGTTACACAATCAAGAACAATTTCCAAAGAACGGGATCTCAAAGATTGCTTGTTTATCCTGGATATTTAATTTCTTTGCACGCTACTTCTCAATTTTTGAATTTACTTAATTGATTCCTTTAAACTTATCCCTTGATTTATTTGTCAAGGATTTGCTAAGGATGATTCCAAAAAGCCTTCAGAATTAATTTTACTTTCAGGATTTCCCTCAATAATCTTATAATTATGTTCGGTACTCTCCAGAAATGTTCTTAATAACAATCTCCATTATGTTGTGTAGAATTTGCTTTGAATATTCCTCGAAAATCTCTTGGTATGTCATTTAGAATTAAGAAATGCGTTCCCTCAAAACTTGGAATTTTCTGGCAACACTGCTCAAAGTCTCTTGCCAAACTCAGTGAAATTCCCTCAAAATTCTTATAAATTATCTTTGGAATTCCAGGGCTGTTACAAGATTTTCAAAATTGAATCAGCGAAATCCGTGATTTCTCAAAAAAAAAAAAAAAAAAATCAGCGACTTCAAATACAAATCCACGACAGATAAAACACTGTTTTCATAGCTTAAAAATACCATTTGTATTACTACTTCATGGCATTTCAGCCCAAGGTAGTTGAAAAAATTTCCATCCTGAAAAGTTAGTAGACCGGGTGGGAATCGAACCCAGCTTACTCCGGCATAGACTTGCTTTGTAGCAGCACCTTTACTGGCTGAGCTAAGGGAGTATTGTTTGTACCCTTTGAAAAAGAATCTTCAGCTATTCATGTTCTAGGTAGTATAAATTCTTACTATTTAGTGAACATAATAAAACACTTTATGAGATTCTAATTAATAAAAAAGGCATAACTTTTATGAAACATTATTTTAAAACATATATGCATTTGAAATACAAACTCACACGACAATTATTAACATCCACATCCCAATAAAAAATAGGGTGTATAGAACGATTTACCATGTAATTCATTTAATTTGAGGTTTTCCTTTTTCAGAAAAAATAATACTGAAAATGATTTTTCTTAGGATTATTTCAAAAGAGATCAAATTTTTAAGGTAATTCCTACGATGCTTGCCCGTAGATTTGTAATTTTATCCGGCAGTTCGATATACATTAATTAAGCATTAAACCAAAAGCCGAAAGAATCACTAGGCAGCAGCATTTTTCCTGGTTCAAATTCTTCAAAGTTTGTCTATATTTTAACTTCCCGGAACATTTAATCTAAAATATTTACAAGATTTTATTAAAATATTCTCAAACATTTTCGTTTGAATCTTTTCCCAGCGTTTATTTCAGAATTATTTTAAAATAAGATTGAGATTCTTACTGAGAGTCCCTTGGAGTCATCCTTAGATTTTCTTCGAATTTTACAGTTTTTCTGGGAATTAGCTGAAGATACCTGCTTTAATTCTATTCAAAATTCGATTTAATTCTCTTTTGAATTCCCAAACAGTTCACTTCAGAATGGTCTGGGAATTGTTAGAATTATCTTAGACTTCTCCTATAAATTCTTCTGCAATTTTTCTTAAAAGTTTCCCTAAAATTTTCTAGAAATTCGCTTCGTGATGCTCTCGATATTATCCTTGGAGTTTTATTTAAATTATTATCAGAATTTCTTTCAAAATTCGATTTGCTTTGGATTTTTTACAGATCTTGGGATCCTCTTTAAAACCGAATGGAGTATTTCACAGAGCTTCACAGAGAATTTTTCACACGTTAAATTTTACATACTGAGATAATGTCGGGAAAAAAAAATCCACACATAATACAACAAAACCGATTGTTTATTTCAGTAAAGTAGGCTTATATCGATAGCAAACGTAGCTTATTTGAATGTTTCTTTATTGTTTCTTTATGTTTTTCTTTATTCAAGAGGTCTGGACTTATTTGATTGTAATTCTTTTGTATGTGAAATTCTCGAACTTTCTGTGGGATACCCGCCATCAGGTTCCGTACAGTATCCTCAGATACCTTAGTGGCAGCGTGCCTCCATCTTCTCTTGAAATCATTGATGCCAGTTGCTTTACACTTTGTCTCGAATACTTTCCGCTTAATCAGTACTTTTCTATTGGGCGAAGTTCTGGACATTTTGGACAGTTTGGCGGATTGGCTGTTTTTGGCACGTATTTGATCTCTTGTGCATTGGATCCGGAATTTTGACGTCTGTATTTTAAGGAAATACCTGCGATGGGTTACTGTTGGGGCAGCTCCACTTGGTTATTTGAGTGAGATCATTCCTTTTCATTTATTTATTTATTTCCTATCGTTAGGACGTCGATTCAGCTTATCGTTTACCAAAATGAACTCTGCTGCAAACCCTACCCTCTTATCCAACATTTGACCTATTGTGCATTATACCATTCCAGGATGGATTTTGCATAGTGACAAGAGGTCAAATCGGGCCAAAACAGGGCTGGAGTGTCGTGCACCCATTCTTTCTCGTACACATGTTTGTTGATAGTACCGATAGAGATGAAACTTTTGGATTTACGGCCGCAACTACATACTTTTTGGGGAATTTAGAAAGCTTATTTGTCCGGAAACACTCGGCAGCGGCTTTCCTTTGCATTGCAGTATAAAAAGCCAAACCCGGAAGCTGTTGAAAGTCTTTGAGCACGTATGTTTCGTCGTCCATTATGATACAAGAATTTTTTGCAAAAACTGGGTGAAAAGCAATGAAATTTTGCTTATCATTACGATTAGGCACCTTTTTCACTTTGTACGCCTTCAGC